AGGGAGGGAGAGAAAGAGAGGAGGAGGGAGAGAGAGGGAGAGAGAAAAAGGGAGAGGGAGAGAGAGGGAGACAAGAGCAGGAGAGAGAGAGAAAGGGGGAGAGACAGAGAAGGAGAGAGAGAAAGGGGGAGAGACAGAGAAGGAGAGAGAGACAGAGGGAGACAAGAGCAGGAGAGAGAGGAGGAGGGAGAGAGAGGGAGGGAGAACACACATGGTGGAGAGGAAGGAAGGCCGGGCGGCCAGCAGGTCAGGGGCAGGTGGGCAGGCAGAGCCCTGAGAAGGGAACAGAGCAGTTTGGAAAAGGCCCGAGGTCCAGGCAGAAGGTGCAGGTAGGAAAGCAGCTCCCCCTGAGACCCCAGAACAGCTGGAAGGCTGGCTGGGCCCAGACTTGGCCTGGGAGTCCTGGTCAGCGGCCTTCACTCAGCTGCTGCGCTTGTTCCACCCTCGGAATATCTGCAGAGGAGCCTCCTGGCCTCCTGGTGGATGGCCAAGAGGGTGAGGCTCAGTTACCTCAGCATCAGAAAGGGAGCGAGAACTGAGAGAGAGAAAGGGAGAGTCAAGAGCGAAGAAAGGAAGGAGAGGGAGGAGAAAGGGGAGAGAACGGGAAAGAGAGGAAGTTGGTGGGGGTGAGGAGAGGGTTGGGGTGAGCCTGTGAGGGGCTCTGGCCCATGGGCAGACATGTGTGGGTGGACGCTTACACACACACGCACACATGCACACACACACACACACACACACACACACACACGTGCACATACTCCAGAAACCCCTACATGTGCACAAGTCAAAACCAGACCCAGGAGTAGCCAGTGCAGGGCGACACTGGGTGGGGGCCATTCTTGGAGCTTGTGACGGGTCTCTGGGGGACTCTCCAGGGAAAGTGAGCCGGAAGGGGCTGAGGGAAGGGCCGGGGAAGGAAGCTGGTACCCAGGGTCCCATTCACCACAGCGGGTAGAGGCACCTCTGGTGTGGGCCCCATGCACTGTGTCAGCGCCTGGCTAGAGAAGGTCTGGGGCTTTCTGGCCAGACCCACGTGGGCTGTGGTTCACCACGACCTCTCTGTGGGCCCTCTCTGAGCCTCAGTGTCCCCACTTGTGAAAAGGGGATATGCAGGTCACCGATACTGCATGGAGGCCCCTAGGTTGGTTTTGGTGATATTTTGGTAGCACCGTGGCTTGGGTTGTAATGGTGCTCAGTGTTTGGTGATCTGACCTGCAGCTGTGTAGACGCAAAAGCAATGAAATGTCTGTTCTCCTCCGCAGGACCTGCCCTGGAGGAGCAGCTACCCTGGTTTGAGCCAAGGCTGGATTAGGGTTTGGGATTGGAGGCCAACAGCCTTGGTCTCTGCATGGCACCTGGCTCCCATCCACAGGACAAGGTCATCGTGCCCACAGTGAGCGTGTGGACTCTGAGGCAGGAAGCAAAATAGTTCCCTTCTTTTAACTGGGGGGTGGACTGGCAGTTGCAGCCGGGGCTAGACCCCTCCCAGCTCTGGCTAAGCCTCTTATCCTTATGAGGCCTCAGTTTGCTCATCCATAAAGTGGAGGAGCGCATGATCTATCACCTTTTACATGTGACATAGTGTGTCTCCCCACCACAGACCCTGGCAGGCCACATGGGAGACCTGGGAGGTGGACCCTCTGACCCTCAGACACAGCCCAATCCTCGCTGTGGGTCCCCCCACTTCTGCTCACCCTGTTGGAACTGACTTCACCCTCAACGGCCTCATCCAGTCCTGGGGGGAGGGTGAGAGGAAGGGGTGTGTGTGGCCGTACCCCTGGTTTTGCCCTCTCAGCGGGGAGTGATCACAGAGGCTAGCCTGGAGGAGGAAGAGGAGGCTGTGTGAAGACGGCTGGGTTCAGGGTTTCTTGGTGGATGGAATGAGTGCCTTAAGTCTGGGAGGAGAGAAGCAGGAGGGAAGCAGCACTGTTGGGAGCTCGCCATGTGCCCCAGGAGCATGGTCACAGCCCCACTGTGACATCTAAACCCCACGACAATCAGGATGATCAATCCCATTGTACAGAGGAGGTAACTGAGGCTCAGGAAGATTCAGGAACTTCTGTGCTCCGTACCATGTGGCTGAGGAATGCAGGACTAGGGCAGGGGGCCAGGCCTGGTGACGACAAAGCTAGGCTTTCCTGTGGACAGGTCTAGGCCTTGGGCCCCCCATTGGAAAATGGCCATTGACCTCACTTCTGGCCCTCTCCAGAGGGTGTGGCTAGATTAGGGGTGGGTGGCTGGGTGGAAGTGAGAGGTGCCCAGGACTGTCCCTGAAGCCAAAGGACTTAGTAAGTCTTTTGGGAAGAGTGCGGATCCTTAGTGCCCAGGTGGCAGGATGCAGGCAGGCCGTGGTGACATCCTCCCCAGCATGCTCAGGGACCTGTCATGAGCTCAGGCACGCCTCACTCACAATCTGCTTGGGAAAGGGTGAGGATGGGCCTTTGAGGAAGCAGGGGGATTGTCAGGTTGACCTCTGCAGGCACCTAACAAACCGTATTTGGATCAATGGATTATCTCGGATTCTGCGGGTGCCAGGTCAAGTTCAGAGCCTCCTGATTCAAAAACTTCTATTCCAACCCCCAGCACCTGTGAGCAGAGTGACTTTGGACAAGTCACTCAGCTTCCTGTGTCTCAGTCTCCTCATCTGTAAAATGGGGATGAGGAGAAACCTGTCTCATGGGTGGTGTGAACACTCAATGAGATCCATGCTATAGCAATTAGCCAAGCGCCTGGCACATGGACCCACCCAGGAGGTGTAGGTTACTGTCATGGTCATCCCAGAAGGTGGGAGGGAGCAGCCCTGTGCCCCAGGAGCATGGTACTGAGGGAGGGTGACAGCACTCCCACTCTACAGGTAAGCACAAAGCTGGGTACGGTGGTGCACCCCTTCATCCCAGCAGCTTGGGAGGCTGAGGCAGGAGGATCACGAGTTCAAAGCTGGCTTCAGCAATTTAGCAAGGTCTTAAGCAATTGAGCAAGATCCTGTCTCAAAAGAAAAATAAAAAGGGCCACGGTAGCACATGCCTGTAATCCCCAAGACTTCGGACTGATGTAGGAGGGCCCCAAATTGAAAGCCAGCCTCAGCAACTTAGCGAGACCCTGTCTAAAAAAAAAAAAAAAACCGCTGGGGATGTGGTTTAGTCCCTAGGTTCAATCCCCGGTACCAAAAAAACAAAACCAGGCAAGGACCATTTGGCTTTGAGAGGTTAGGTAACTTGCAGAAAGTCACACAGGAAGACAATCCCCTGGCTGCAAAGAAACCCTGTTTCTGCCCTCAAAGTTTTCCATCTCTTGTTCCCTTCATTCTGTTACTTCTAGTTGAATCCAGAGGGGACTCCTGGGAGTGCAGGGTCATCATTGCTTCTACAAGCGAACGCTGGCAATTCCCAGAAGTTAAGTACATTGTCCGATGCCCTTCTGCTGGCGGGTGGCCAGCTTCACCCCAAACTCAGGCTCTCTGACCCCAGAGTCCCCCTTCCTCCTTTGGTGACACCATCACTGCCACAGGACATACATGCCATAGGTCCTACTCTCTGCTTTTCCATTTTCTTTGTGACCATCTCTGTCCCCTATATGAGTTTGACATCCAATGACCGCCAGCTGGGAGCTTAGTATGAGGTATGGTCACCACTTGGAGGGGTCCTTGCTTGGTCCCAAAGCCTTGGGAACTGACATCAGTGATTATGCAATACCATCAGTGATGACATCAGAGGATTACTCAATAAGGAGTTGCAATCCCACAGCACATTGTCCTGCCGTGGCCCTCATCTTTGACAAGGAGTCTCTCATTGGGCCCATTTCACAGGTGACACTGCCAAGGCCCCGAGATCCTGGGCTGGACTTGTTCCCTTTCATTTTTTTTTTGGAGGGGGAGTACCAGGGATTGGACTCGGGGCACTCCACCAGTGAGCCACATCCTCAGCCCTAGTTTGTATTTCATTTAGAGACAGGGTCTCCCTGAGTTGCTTAGTGCCTTGCCTTTGCTGAGGCTGGCTTTGAACTCGTGATCCTCCTGCCTCAGCCTCCTGAGCTGCTGGAATGACAGGTGTGCACTACCAAGCCCGCCAACTTGTTCCCTTTCATCAAGGGGCTAATGCAGCTGGACCCAAGCCCCTGACTCAGCCAAGGGGCCTGGTTGACCCAGGTCTCTGGCAGAGTTGAGCTCAGGGATGGAGACAGAGGGAGTGGGAGCTAACGAAGGAGGTTCTGGAGGCCTTGTGTGTGCGCAGGAGTCTGAGGAAGGGGGTGGGGAGCTGGATGGTTGCTTCTAGTTCGCGTTCCTCAGGTGATCCCGGCTGGCAGTCACCCTGAAGGACTAGCCCGTGGATGTCCAGCCCTGGGTCTGGGTCAGCCACTGGTCAGCAATTGTCCCATTTTGCTTCCTTCCTAGTAGGACTGTCACTCAGCACTGGGGTGATAGAGCAGCTGAGGGGACAAAGGGGGACCTGGCAGCAGGAAGGGGAGCAGGGGACAGAGGCTGTTCACCCTGCAGGGTGGGAGGATCAGAGCCCCTCAGGCCTCGTGGATGAAGTTTGTATCTGCCCCCCCATCCCCCCCCCATGGGGGAAGCAAAAGCACAGGAAACCCACTGGGAGAAACTGAGGCAGGAAGGCAGAAGCAGCCAGCAGGAAAGAGACCTGGGAGAGGCCTGACCCTGGAGCTGTGGGTGCTGACCCCCTGGGGCAGGGGAAGGCAAAGCTCCAGGTTTGGGGGGGTGGCTGGGCCCCAGGTCTCTGTTTCCACAGGGGGAGAATTTTGGACTCTGTTGCACTGGGTGCTGGTGGGGGAGAAGGCCCAGCTTCCTTTGTGTCCCTTCTGGGGGGCAGGTGGGACCTCTCAAGCCCAGGGTCCCTCCCCTTCTCCACCTCAGCTCCAGGGGCCCTCACTCTCCCCCTGCCCCCTCCCACCCCCTGACTCCGGACCAGGGGCAGCAACTTTTTCCTAGGACAATGGGCCACCAGATGTCAGCCTCAGGAGGACTCAGCTCTGTCCTGGGGGGGGACTGAGGGGACACTGAGGCCCTGTGGGAGCTTTGGCTCCGATTCACAGAGATGAGCTGGCCCACTTCCTTCAGCCACCACCGTGAACCGTGGCTCTGCCCCATCCACAGAGGCCAGTCGTGTCTGGGTTTTGGTTTCCTGATTTTACCCTGGGAGGAGGGGGACAGATCCAGATGCCCCTTTTCATTCCCAACACTATGTAGGGGAGAAGTAAGGCTTTGACCCTGGGGGATCAGGGGGGCGCAGGAAGCCTGTGTCAGGACCTTTCTGGGGGTGGGTCATTTCTGTATGGTGCTCTTTTGACTTGTCGCTATCTGTGGGACAGAAATGATGACTCCAATTTCACACGGGAGGAAAATCAGACTCAGAAAGGTGAGTTAACCTAAGGGCATTCTGCTGGTGAGTGGAGGAAACCAGGATTCGAATCCAGGGCTGGCCCTAAAGTCTGGGCTCCTTCCACGCTGCTGTGTCCATGGGGTGAGGAGTGGGGATGGAGGGAGGGTCTGTTCCCTGTCTCCTCCTTCGGGGCCTAGGGAGAGGGGCATGGGCCAGGAGGCTGGGGACCGCTGGGACACAGTGGGGCAGGCACCCGGAGAACCTAGATGGGACCCTGACACTCTACCTGCATGATATGGGGCAAGCCCCTTCTCTCTGAGCCACATGTAAGTGGTGGCTGGAGGTGTCTCCTGGATGTGTGGTGGGTGAGCGGAAAAACCAAATGCGGGGGAAGGAAGCCGCCTTCTAACTGGCGGCAGCTCTGGCTCAGGACAGAGGCCCTCCAGGACCTCGCTCCGGAATCTCCGTCCCTCTCAGCCCATCTAGATGGAGTCCCCAGCCTTCCCCAGACACCAGGCAGAGACGGACCAATCCACTGGCGGTGTGCAGTGCGTGCTGCGTGCGTACTGGTGGCCCCAGCTGGCTGCAGGTCACACCCGGGCGTTCCCTCCCCTGCGGAGTCACCTGAGATCTCTCTATCCCAGCAGGTTAGCCGCTGTTAATTAAACCAATTGTTGGACTTAATGCCCATCCCATTAACGTGTCTCCCAGGCCTATTCATCACCACCAGTGGAGGAAGGGGTGGGAGCTCTGGGTGGCGGTGGTGGGTGCTGAAAGCCAAGTGAAGCAGCTCGTGGAAAAGAGATGGGGTCCCTTCCCTGTTCCCTCTTGGGAGCCGAGGAAGCTTCCATTCCAATCTCAGGATGTGCAGGGGCCTATGGTGTCTGCATCCCACAGGGTCCACCTGAGCCAGGGTCAGCCCTGCTCACCCACACACCTGTCCCCGTCCTGTTCCCTCTACCTGTTGGGGGCCTCTCTGCTCCGTCCTGCCTGGAAAGTGGGTGGACACAGGAACAGGGGGCCCACGCAGCGATGCTCAGTGGGCCTCCCCTCCCCTTCCCCTTCCTCCTTTCCTCCTGCATGGGCCCTCCCCTCCACCCCCACCCCCCAGTGTCAGGGGGCTTGAAGAGCCAGGGTGGGGCCACCAGAAGGTGCATAAATCATTATTGGCGAAGACCTCAGCCCTGAGCCACGGGTAGAGGCTGCTGCTCGTGGTTCAGGCCAGGGCATAAATCATAATTCCCCTACAATAGATCCTTTTGCAGCCGCCATCAGGAAAACTGTGTTGGTTTTATCGATTTTTTGACACGGGGGCCCAGGCAGCGGGCGGCTCCTGAATCATTATGAAATGAAACTGATTAGGAATTCATGGAATACTAAATAAACTTTACGAGCCCGTTGTAAGTTTTTTGATGCATGGGGAGCGGAAAATGAAAACTAATGATATAAAAATTACACAGCGTGCTGAGTATTATTATACCGCTATTGATTTGTTTCAAACTGTACATCAAAATCGAAGAGGGCCGGGGCAGCTTCTGCAGCCATGCTGGGGATGTTTGGGCTCACCAGGGTTGGAGGACTTTCTTTTTTTTTTTTTCCCCTTCTATTTTTATTTATTTTTTTTCTCTCTCCTTCCTGTAGTCTCCCACTCTGTCATCTGACTCCCTTCTCACCGTCTTCTGTCTTCCAGGGCAGTCCCTGCTCAGTTGGGACCCTGCAGCCCTGCTCAACTAGAATTCCTTGGCTTCTGCTGGTGTCTCTCTGGAGCTGCATTTTTAGTCTGTGAGTTTCTCATTTCCCTTCTGCCTTCCCAAAAGGAGGAGTTTGTTCCAGTGATCCTTGCTGTGTGGCCTTTGGAATGTGGCTTTGCCTCTCTGGACATTATTCTGGATTAAAAAAAAAAAAAAAAAGATTGGACTCATTGGATCAGGTGTCTGAAAGGGTGGTCTGTGGGCAGCCCATCTGTGTGTCATCTCCAGGACTCCAGTCTGTGTGTCATCTCCAGGACTCGTAAAAATGACGAAGAGCTGGGCCCATTCTTAGATGAACTGCCTACAGATCTCTTGAGATGGGATGTGGGAATCTGCACTCTTATCTATCTATTAATCAATCTACCAATCTACCTATCAGCATTGGGAATGGACCTCAGGGCCTTGCACGTTAGGCAAGTGCTCTGCCACGGAGCTACATCCCCAGCCCTGTGTTTAAATAGGTTCCCCATGGGACTCTTGCGCACAGAGCCTGCTGATCTGAAGACACCTATCTGTCACCTCCCCCCTGGGTTGTCAGAGGTGGTCTTAAAGCTACGAATATTGTCCTCTGTGTTAGTCAACTCTTGTCCCTTCTTCCCTCCCTTCTCTGGCACTGGGGACTGAACTTGGGGATGCTCTACCATTGGACTATACTTTTTATTTTTCACTTTGAGACAAGGTCTTGCCAAGTTGCTGAGGCTCTGCTCTGTTCCTCTCCATTCTGGGGTCCACGCTGAAGAGGAGCCCCCACCTGAGACGTGTTCTTCTGATGGCAAGGAAGAGAGCGGGAACCATGGTGCAGGCACATGACCCTCCTGACGGTTTTGCTTGGACGTGGAACATGTCCCTTCTGTTCACCAAAATGTGTCATGTTCTCAATTCAATGTCCGAGGGGTGGGAAGTGCACTTGTCCTGCAGGATGGACACCCAGGAGAGAGCCTGCAGGGACGGTCAAAGAGAAACCCAGGGGCATTGTAGTACACTGTCCTGCGCCCTCCAGGCTTGGTCTGGGGTCTTGTTTGGCCCAGGCAGGGAGGAACGGGGCTGCTGTCCTACAGAGTTGGGCCACCTAGTACACACATGCCTCTCCACGGCCGGCCACCTACTGCTTCCCCTACCCACTCTGAGCCCCTGGCCTTGCTCCCGGGTCCTTCAGTGGGGACTGTCTCCTTGTTTCTGCCTCCCTGCTCGGGAACCTGCAGACACCCACCCTGCATCCTCCAGGGATCTGCTCTAACAATCAGAATCCTTCTCTAAAATGGTCCTTTATCCTCTAAATGCAGAGGGGAAATTTAGACTGCAAGTATGGGACTTTCTTACATAAGAGAACTCATGTCATTTTCCTCTTTGGCTGGTATTGTTCTTGTGTTCAAGCTCACATCAGCCCGACTCTCAGAGAGGTTGAATTCTTTCCCCTGGACACACAGCATGTTGTTTCCAGAGCTGCATTGCCACCAAGTTCTGCATGTGTCTGAGTGGCATCTTCAGAAAGCCTGCTTGATGTCTAGGGGTCCTTTGTGCGGGACCCACTGCACTGACTTGGATATCAATGGCACAAGTCTGGCTCTTAGGGGCCGTGCTATCTGGAGACACAGAAACACTCAAATATACTCTGCATACAAACCTCTTCCTGAACTGGACAATATGGATCACGTGATGACCCAGAAGGAGCAAGAGTCTTAAGTCTTGGGTTCAAATCCAAGTTTGGCCCTGAACTGGATATGCTGCTTCTTAAATCTGGGACTCAGTTTCTCTGACTGTCAAAGATAGGTTTTTGCTCAGCCCATCTGAGATGCCTTCCAGGGGATTAGAGTGGGCAAGGTTAACCCACTGGCATGGTTCTCACAAGCTGTTGATTCTACATTGGTGTGGGAAGGAGGCTGATGGAAACCCACACACTCAAACTGACTTAAGCAAAATAAGTTATTGACTGCTGATGAGGCCAGGTGAGTCTTCAACTGCATTGTAATTTGGAAGTTTCAAGTGATGATGTTGGGGATTTGTCTTCATCTCTCAGCTCTTGTCTTCTTCTAGGCTGACTGCTTTCTTAGGCATGATCTCTCCTCATGGTGACAAGATGGCTGCCAGTAGCACTAGGTCCCTGTTCTGATGGTTCAGCAACCTGGAGAAAGGAAGCATCTCCCTTCTATTAGTAATAGTAAGATTTCCAAGACTGAATTTTACGGGTCCAGCTTAGGTCACATGTCTGCTCATGAATCAACCACCCTAGCTGGGGGCAGAGGGAGGATTTCAGCCCTCCACCATCCCTAGCCAGGAGTGGGCTCTGCATCTGCAGAACCACATGGATGATATATAGTAGGAGAGGCTCCAAAGAAAAGTTGAAGTATTGTTTCTAAAGAGATAGATTTGCCAGAGTTGTTCACTGAAGTCCCCAAGATTAGGGGCAGGGGCAGTGGGCAGGGTGAGGGCAGAGTAGATGAGACTCTTCTGCCTGTAAGTCATGTGTGGAACTTTGGGGACAGCTGGGATAAAGGGTAGGGCTGGGGGTGAAGGTTCCTTCACATGTCGGGGGATCCTGGGGACAGCAGTGTAGACTGAGGCTGCCCAGGCAAAGGGAAAGTACACGGCTTCTCCACCTACAGCAGCCCCCCACCCCCACCTAAGCATGGCAGGGTTTGCACCAGGTGGGTGGTGACAAGCTGGTCTCTGAAGTGATGGACAGATGTGCTTCACATCCAGCTCTGCTCCTTCCCAGCTGTGACCCGGAGCCAATCCCCTATTGTCTGATCCATTTCTGGGGATGGAGTGAAAAAGTGTAAGTACTGGCCCCAACCCAGCTCTCTGAAGAGGCTCTGGCAAGACTTCCCTTCTCCGCCTAAAACCTCCCCTGGCACACAGAATTTGTGCTGTGTTCTTGAACTGACATCTTTTCTTTCTTTGGTCCAGAGGATTGAACCCAGGGGCACTTAACCACTGAGCCACTTCCTCAGCCCTTTTTTATATTTTATTTAGAGACAGGGTCTTGCTGAGTGGCTGAGGCTGGCTTTGCTCTTCCTGCCCAGCCTCCCTATCTGCTGGGATCACAGGCCTGTGCCACCGCACCCAGCTGAATTGATACGTTTTCTATGTCTTCTCTGATGGCCTTTGATTGGGGGCAGGGCTATGCCACATTTGTGCCCACTCTGTGGTCACCCCATCCACAAATGCCCCTCGAATGAAGTAACAGGGAGGAGTTGGCTGGGTCCTCTGCCCACTGTTGCCATGTACCCGGGACCTGGCTGCAGCTGGACGCTCTTCAGCATCTGCTCTTCCCGATGCCCAGGCCGTAGCCAGGTGTCACACGTGTACCCAATTCCCAAAGCATAGACCAAGCGTCCACTTCAAATTTTCCGGGGAAGGCAGGAGAGCGGATGAGGCCACGCCCACACTCCCGTCAATCAGGCCACGTGGGGCTCCTCCCCGCCTTCTTGGCTGCCTCCCTCCCTAGCAGCGCTCTGTGGTTCCTCTTCAGTTCCATTTTCTTAAATCAAACCCGACTGTCATTTTGCATCCCCAGGACAGCAAAACACCTCCAGGCCCGCCCTTCTCCTGGGCTCATTCCACCTGCTCATACCTACCTTTGCACTATGGGACCCCTTGACCCCCACCCAGGCCTCAGTGCCCCTGCACACCCACCAGCCCCTCCAGCTGCTGCTCCATGGCGTTTAGAGAGGAGACTTGACTGGCCCATGTCATCCCAGCTCCTGTGCAGGGCTCCTCCCACTCTGCCCCCTCCCAGGGCCCAGTTGCCCCTGTGGGTGGGCGACGTGGGGGTGGGGCAGGATCGCTTGGGGCTGGCCTCCCTGGTGAAGCTGGGGGTGCTGCACACACTGATTTCAGACGTGGCTCTGAGCGGGCGGTTCATTCATTCCTGACCGTATTGACTGCAGAATTGAGCGCTACAAGTAGGTAGTTTAGCTATTATTCTCCCACTGATTTGATTTAATGTTTGGTTTATTCCTGTTCCTCTCCCCCCTCCTCTCCTCATCAGGGTGACATTTGCATAGTGTTTCCCTTCAGTTTTGTGGAACACATGGTTTTCTGGTAACTCCCTGCTTTGGCTTGAATGATTTTCTTTGGGGAACCCCTGGGGGGTGCATGGAAGCACCATCTTCCTCCTGGACCCTGCCTTTGTGTTCTTTTCCCCACAGGGAGAAACACGTGAGGGACCATATGTCCCTGCTTCTTGGCCTCTGGGAGCCCATGAAATTCCTGCTGCCTGTGGCCTTCAAGTATTCCTGAGCATCCTGGGACGGAGGGCAGGGGTCCCAGCATGCCCATGAAGGAGCCTGCACCCTGTGGGTAACCTCTGCCCTCCCACCCAGCACCTCTTCCAGAGCCCCACAGTGAGGTGGGTCTTTTCTGTTCTCTCTGTCCATGGTGCTGCCTTTTATTACGGGTTCCCCCCACCCCCGTAGGCTACACAGGCCTCAGGGATTGTGGGATACTTGGTATCTTAGTTTGATGTTCCCAGAGCAGGGAACAAGTTTGGGTCCATCCTTTCTATTGGTAATCTACCCAGCCAATGAGGAAGGGCCTCATTGAGACAGGGAGGGTTTCAGCAGAGATCTGCAGATTCCTGAGTGTTGACTCGGACCCCTTTCTCAAGCCGACCCTAGAGCCGAGGTGGAGCCCGTGGGCTGGGGTTATAAGGAGGCAGCGAGGGGCCAGAGAGGAGGTCTCCGCACAGGCAAAGGCTTCAGCAACCGGAAGGGTGGAGATGCTCTAGTGGAGGATGGATCCTTACCTCCAGGGACACCATTGGCAGAAGGCAGGGAGCCTTCGGTGTGCCAGCCTGGGTATGCGGGACGAGGATGCAAGCTCCTTATGCCCATATTCTATTTTATCTTGGGATTCTCCAGGCTTGGTATGGTGCTTGGATTCTGGTCCCTAAAACCTCGAATAACAGGAAACAGCAGCATCTGCAGTCACTGCTCTATTTGTTGTGGTAGATCCTGACAACAACCATTCATCATGAGTTCTTTTATCTCCATCTTACAGATGAGGAAACTGGGGCTCAGTGGGGTTGGGTGACTTGCCCTGAGTCCTGCATTTCCTAAGTGGCAAAGCTGGGATTTGAACTCAGGTCCGCCTGCCTTCCTAAGTCCCTGATTTCCCCACTCCTCTGTGGCATGTTCCCGCATGGGGAGGGAGGTGAGACTACAGATGTCCTTGGAAGGGCCTCTTGGCTTCTGAGGTTCTGTCTGGTTAGCTGCCACCTCCCTTCCCCCCCCCACTCCCCCCACAACCAGCCACAAAGAAAAGGAAAAGAAGTCCTTTCCTCCTCCTCAGGTGGCTCGTGGCAGATTACTTAGCGTTTGACACGGCGTGTCTCTGTGTCACTGTTCCCGGGCGGAATTAAATCAGGGCAGGAAAATATTAATTTGGAGTTGGGGATGGAGGCCGCTCCTTTCCAATTACTCTCCACCCCGTCAGGGCTTATCCTGGCGCAAACAAGGAAGGAGGCTGGATTAATTGCTTTGGACTCTACCCCACTCCAGTCCCAATTACTGGGCCGGCTTGGCTCCCAGCATTATGAAGCCACTGCTGTGCAGGAAATTGTGTGAAATTTTAACGGATTTGCAGACGCAATAATGGAGCACTGGATCTGGGGCCAGCCTGCGCCAGGCGCCTGGGCCCTCCATGCCTTGGCGGAGGTTAAGCTGTTTGGGGTTTCTTTGTGTATTGAAGGATCATCTGGTTAACCCCAAGGCCCAGGGCCCCCAGGACTGTTCAGACCCTGACCCTGCAGAGGAAGGGTCAGCCCCTGGAGGACAGGGAACTGGCTGCCTGGATGATAATGCCACCACCATCCTCAGAACCGCTGTGCGGTGCCAGGTGTTTACTGGACACATCTGTAAGCCTCATCGTCTGAAGCCCTCTCTTCCCTGTCTTATAAAAAAGGAAAGGTTGGCACAAGGTCACCTGGCTACCTAGTGGCAAGGGCAAGACTTGACCCAGGTAACCTATGGTCCGGTTCCACTCTGCCTTCACCCCTGTCTTTACCCCTCCCTCCTCCTCCCCTCCTTCTTCTTCTTTATTTGTTTATTTTTCTTTTTTATGATCCTGTAGAAGGAACCCAGGGCCTCGAGCAAGTAGGCAAGTGCTCTCCCGCTGAGCTGCAGCCCCAGCCCCTGTCCCTTCTTTTGAAGGTTGGTTGTAAATATCTCTCCCCAAGTACCCTTGGGCTTCCAGAACATGGGGTCTCTTTTCTGTCTCATCTTTGCTTCTTCAGCCCCTGAAGACCACCCATGAGAGCTTTGTTGAGCTGCACTGAACTTGGCCTGGCACTCAGGATCTGTAATGGGATGAGAAGGTGGGCTGGGGCTGCCCACAGGCACCTCTGGGTCAGAGGGAATGAACCTCGTTTGAGCCCACAGGGAGTGTGGGAGGGAGAGTGTCCCCAGCACTATTGTGTATCAGTAGGTACTTCCCAAGAATAGTTTCTGTTCCTCCTAACCATGACCCCAGGTGATAGGTGGCAATGCCCCATCTGAGAGACGTAGGAACAAGGATCAGAGAGGTAAGTGGACTTATCTAGGTTGAAAAGCTGATAAAGGCAGCCTTATCTGCCAAGTTCAGAGCCCTGGGACTTTGGGTTGCTGTAGTTAGAGCTGGGTAGGCCTGGGCTGTGGGCTTCCTGAGGTGTGGGTGTCTGGATCCGGGCGGGGGGAGGGTCTATACCTTTGAAAACTGCAGCACCTGCAGCTTAAATTTATCTCCTTAATTTTATTTAAAATTAAATAAAATTTAATTTGACATTAAATAAATTTAATTTTAATTAAATGCAATTTCACCCGAAAATTTAATGTGTCAAGCTGGTAGAAGTGGATATGCTCTTGTGATAGAGGGGATATTAGGACCGTTTCTTGGCTCTCTCCTAAACCCCCTTCATGGCTCTTGAGGAAGCTCCCAGAAACCTCTGGCTCTGTGAAACAGGATCTGAAAGCCACTGATGCAGCCCCTTCCACCCCTTCTCCCAGAAGGAGATCCAGGCCCAGAGAAGGACAGTGGTTTTTCCTAAGTCACAGCACATGAGTTGTGAATCTCAGTTGTGTGAGTTCTAGGAGTGTGTCATGGAGCCTCGTCCCCGAGCTATGGCCTAATGTACATTCCCAAGGAGCTGAAACCCAGATTGCCTCATTTTCTTTTGCCTGAGACTGAAGTCTAAAGCAGGGGCCTGGAGACTCCTGGGGAGAGGCCCTGTGGCTATGGGGTTGAAATGGAAGATGGTGAGGCCAGCTGGGAGCCCCGAGCTCTCTCCACTGTCTCTGTTCCTTCTTCCTTAACTCTCCATCTCAGTTCCTTCTCTTCATACCCCTAGTGTCTGTAGAGAGACTGAGATGCTCTTGGCCTCTCCTGGTTTCCAACCCGTGTTCATGATCATGAATAGAAGGATTCCTCTTCTTCTTCGTCTTCTTCTGTACTAGGGATTAAACTGAGGAGCACTCAACTACTGAGCCACATCCCCAGCCCTTTTTCTTTTTGTATTTTATTTAGAGACAGGGTCTCTCTGAGTTGCTTAGGGCCTTGCTAAGTTGCTGAGGTTGGCTTTGAACTTGTGATCCTCTGCCTCAGCCTCCTGAGCCGCTGGGATTACAAGCATGTGCCACTGCACTGGGCTAAATAGAAGGATTAAAACAGACAACAAAGTCCAAGATATCTATTTTTTTTTAAAAAAATCAGGTTATGAAAGCTTCTGCAACTAAATGCAAAGCTGATCTCTGGGCTTCCTAGCAGCCTAGGCAAAAAGGAAAACGTCGTTTCATAGCTCATGTTGTTTAGCAAGACGATGACTCTTTTCCTTTTTGGGCTTATACTCTGAATGTTTATTTCTGGTGACTCTTTAACCGAGAGGCCCTGGAGTGACATACTGGATAGGCTCTCAGGTTGGCAAAACAAGCTCACACAGGCACATCTATGTTCTCATTCCAGTTATTTGGAAATGTGTGTCTGTGAAGGGAGGGAGGTCTCTCCTACTGTCAAAGGTGAGAGGTAACTGGTGGCTTACTGGGAAGGTGGGGGCTTTGATCTCTCTGTGGCCAGCTCTGGAGGATTTGGGGTTACTATAAAAATGCACTGAAAAAAATTCCATAAAATTTGCCCAGTTGAGAGAGGCTGGCCAGGAGACAATAACCATGAAATACGAGGCCCTCTGCTTTGGAGGCTGGGTGTGCAGGGGGAAAAGTTAGTCTACTAGGGAGGCTTCTGGGAAGAAAGGTTGCATTTGCATTCTGGCCTCACTTCAACATGAGGAGGAAAATTCCACTGAGGAATTCTTTGGGGATAATTATAGTGTCACCCCCTCCTGGCCCCAATATTGCCTAATGTTATTATTAGACCTGGCTTCAGGTTTGGCACCGAGGCCTAGGATGTCTGCAGAGGAGTCCGGGGGATGGGGGACTGAGCCAGCAAGAGAGTGACTGACTGGGAGAAGGGGACAGTAGTAAGGAGCTTGGGGACGTTCACAAACCTCAGCCCCGGGGGGGAACCAACACAGGAAAAGAGAAGTGGACTTTTGTGGTAGGGGCCCAAAGAGGACCCTGGCGATGACAAGGGTGGTGGAGGAATAAGGGTGAAGCATGTGGTGATTGTCATCAGCTGTCCAATTCCTACCCAGCCCTTTGCGCTAAAGGAGAATTAATAATGTCCAGGGGCTGCCCCCTTAATGGCCATCATTTAGTTTAATTTAAGAAACAGGCCCCACGCACACCCGTCTCGGACAGAAGCACCACCATTGGCAGCGGCAGTGATGAATGGCCTCCTCCTGTATACAGGAGAGCAGTGGTTCTCCTCTTGGGGCCTGTTCAGAATCATCTGGAAGGCTCCTTTCAACTGAGCTGGCAAGGCCCCACCCCTAGGTGGAGCCCAGTCATTTGCATTTCTTACAAGTTCCCAGGTGATGGGGACACTATAGGCCTGGGTTTCATTCCTCCATCCCTCACCCGCCCAAGGGCCCTCTAGGCTAGTGGAGGATGGGCACAGCCATCTCTGGCACTTTAATGTGACCCATCCCTCCAATCGTGGGTGAGTCCACATGCATTTTCTCAGCATCCATTAGTAGTGGTCCCTGCCCCTGGCAGGGCAGGCTGGAGGCATGCCAAAGGCCCATTCCGCTACCACTCAGTGACACGTGGCCCCTCCTGAGCTGGATTTGGGAGGCACCCACCGGTGCTCTCAACCCTGAGCCCATTGGGGACAAAGGGAAGCTGACCCCCTATTCTGCAGGCTCCCTGCTCCCACCCTTCCTGTAAGACAGGTCACAGTGACTCCGGCAGCAGCAGTGGCAGGAGGGGGCCTACAATTATAGGCCTAATTGTGTGACCACAGGCAGGTCCTGCCCCCCATCGA